GTGTTTCATTTTTGCCAAACAGTTTATTTAAGACTCGATTTTTATTTTAAAAAAAAATGCATGGAAGCTGCGGTTTTATAAGCCTCAAGAAACGCGACTCACAAGATAACCAATGGAGGTCAACGGAGAGAACATCTTACAACATCTTGAAAATGCCTTTATACTATGCATTGTAGGATATTGATGTCAAGCACCTTAGTAAACTTTAATGGGTTTTACTCTGAGATACTGTAGTGATTGGTATTATGTGGGAAGTTAGGGTTACAATGGACGGTAAGTGCTGTTTTCGTTTTCTATAGCGATATATACTATTGTAGGTCTATAACGTTTCTCTATCCTGTAATTCTAATTCTCTTAAAAGATAAGAAGTTAATTTTGCAGTAAACGAACTGGGCTGTCAACTGTGCGAACAGAACGACATTTTTACTGTTTCATTATTTTCACAGTTTTATTTTAATGTAACAAATAAGATTTTTTGTATATATATATATATATATTTAATATAACGAAGAAAAGTTTTTAGAATTTGAGTTAAATGTAGGTGAATTATTATGCTTTTTTAATATAAATTTATGATTATGTTAACGTGCTTCTATATTGTGGCAGATGGACCAGTATATCCCGCTGCACCGAGGCGCGCGCCTCTCGACAGTTTTCATAAAACGGCCAAAAATGTCAATGATGATACCGATAACCCGTTCAGCGATATGTATGCCGAAAATATACATCAAGATAGACGTTCTCTGATGGATAGTTCGCAAGGTGTGGAGGTTACAGCATCAATACTAACGAATGCAGCACAACGATCAAGTCCTGCTAGATCTCCCAGGCCATCTTCACCTCGCTCAGCTGGTCGACAATTAGACAAAAATTCTGGCGCTGTGGAACCTACCGGCTCCAATCCGTTTGGAGATGAAGAAGAGTTTAATGGCAATAGTACCAACCCGTTTAAAAAAAACACTGATGCTACCGTTTCAAACAACCCTTTTGGAGATAATTTCGATTAATATTATCCTTCGAGAAACAGTTTCATTACATATGGATTGTTATCGTATGGGAACAGTTGAACAATCGAAAATTATGTAAAAAATACGGGCAGAGTAGTGCTTTTGGTAGATATAGTTCTATCCGACAATATATTTTATTAGAATAAGCCCGATGTAGTTTAACTAATAAATGTCAATTCCCAGTTATAATATCGAATAATCAGTTGGTGTCCATAGCAATTCTTTCCTAGAGTAGCTATTTGATCCATTTATCACAAAAAGTTCTCTTGGTAAAATTATTATCTGATATACATATAGTCGAGATAGGACTTCAGTAGCAAACTATAAGGTAAAGGGAAAATATTTTCGTTGCCATCAACATTACCACCCCATAATTAAAGAGGGTGAAATCATGTTCCCTGCGAGTTCATATATTTCTATATTTTTTACAATAAAGAAAAAGGATCAAACAGACCAAATTATGAAGGGGTTAAAATTGACAATGTTGACCGCGTAAATATACTTTAAGCAAGCTGAATATGCCAGGTAGTAATACGATATTGCCAAATACGCAGACAAAAGTTAACGAATGTATATTCCTTATTCGATTGCGAGAGATAGCAGATAGGATTCTGGCGCATAAAATTATGCCCAGTTTTTGTGGGCTACTAAGCACCACAGAAACATTCGGGAGAAACTAATAATTCTTATATTTTTGTCAATATTACCATTTATATAATTAGCATTCATGAGTAAAAAGCTGCCCTGTCGCGCTTATCTCGCTGTCATACAAATCGTTCGATGGTAAGTAATTACAATAAACTTTACACTTAATAATTGAAATCACATTTGTCGCCATTTATTTTCAACCACTTACGCTTAATATATTATGGCATCTGACATTGTTTCTCGTGTTGTCGTTTTATATTTATACGATCTACGCATAGTAAGCATATTTATCCGAATATCTTTTGCTTACTGCTAATTGCACTAGTAATAATAACGACAATGGTAATGGATCATTTTTTCATTCCATTAAACACATAGTTATTATTATCATGTTTTCAGCCAAATTTGTCTGTCTATAATTGATATCCTAGAAGATAACATAACATCGTAAGTGCTCTTGGTTCGGAGAACACGTTATCACAAGAGTATGAAAAGTCCCGTGATGTGACTTAATCTATTGACTTTTACGTAAAGAACGAATCGGTTATCAGCTATCGGTACGAATACAAACATAGTATAAAGTTAGTTAACGTTGTTGGATTACTATTACGTTCGATTATCAAGTATGATCAATTGCATTTTTATGATCCCTGTTACAGTTTGTGTATACGGTGATATTGAGTCAGCCAATGATTACAGTTCATTCTGTTTCCATTGTAAGTGGCCTCGTAGAAGCACATATCAACCAAAAGTTTCATCACGTCCGAACATATTGTCTTATAAAAGTTTGTCACTTTTTCTCTTTGCTCTATCGGAAGTTTGTATTGTTTGTCGAAAATATTTATGTCGACATAGATAGGTTATCACTTATACGAGCTTAATTGCAGTGAGGTGCTTCCTGTTAGTCGGCTTTATTTTGATACGTTTTCGTCTGTTTCTAACGTCTGTTTCTAAATCTTTAATTAACCTTTTAGCCTTCTTTATTAAAATTGGTCGCTTCTTGATGTCAGTCTTACAGGATTAAGTAGTTAACTATCATGTAATCTACATGTTTTTCTTTAATGAAAGTAAAGAGGCGAAGGAGTTTCGAAAAGCAGTATGATGAATACGATAAATATATACATAAAACAAAGCTTGTTGATAATTTTTGATTTAGATTAATTTAGGTCTTTAGAGATGTACTAAAGGTCCTGCGGTTTTTCTTATTCAGCTAAAGATTTCCACACACGTAAATACAATAATGTATATTAAATTAAATGTATTATTAAAATACATTGAGTGACAGAGACACATTTAGAATATTTGATTGTTAGCATATTACATACATCAATGATTTGGTGTTGATGGAAAGCAAAAGCATTTTTATTTGCATTCAAACTAAATTAAGGATAAAACAGAGATCACTTTCGATTCGATCACGCTCGATCGAGTGTTGAAGTCATCGCCGAGGCAACTTTTTCCGTATATTTTTACATAAAGCAAAATATTTTTTGATTGACTTCTTTTTCAATTAAAGCTTACCCTAATATAACTGCAATATTTTTTGCAAGAGTTAGAACCATTCGCAACCAATGATTCGCTGTAGCTCTACCGTAACGTGATTTGATGCTGCTAAAAACCTTTAAAGAAAAAGCTATTTTACCTTAAAGAATACAGGACACTTGAAGAGCGTAAAATTGATTATCTTTCAGGTGTTCACAACTATGTAAAGCTATTATAAAGAGCGCTTAGAAATCGCGGACAATTTTATTCAGTTACATGATAAATATTATGGCCACTCACCGATCGGCTGGTATTTGCACTAGGTCCCCTAGTTTACCCTAGGTCATGAACTGGATTAATTTTCACTAGGAAACTAGCTAATACGTATCCTTCGTCACCAATCGGAAAATCTCATGGCTCACATTGTCGTAGAAATGTACTTCATTTGGCTATCAGAGCCATACATACCATAAACGCTCCATTCGCTGTCCAGGTCTTCGAACATTCACTGTATCAAAACACCTTCACAGAAATTCACAGGCCTTAATTACTCTAAGTCGAGTTATACTTGCATATTTGTGCAACAGTTAAAAAGAAGTCCCTGTAACTTGGCGACTAAAGACTGGCTAAGCCCACTTTTTATCATTACCACTCATCAGAAATGAAATGTAACATTACGGAGGAATACCTCACGAAATTATAATTGAGCAGTCGGAAACAGGTCCATGTGAACTGCTAAAACTTTAACCATTATTGAGTAAGAGGAACTTGGATTACATCAATCAATCGATCAAGATAATAACAACCACTTTATCATATCAGGGTATACTGATACCCTGCTCTTCAGCGACTTCATATCAATACATATTTAAGTAACAGTTACGAAGAAACGATTGTTATTTTGAGCTATCGTTTTCCTAAAAAACGTTTTGAAGAGGCATTACTATAGATGTCATGAATCTGGAAAAATCTATTTAACTTTCTCTACACTAGCGTTCGAGGCACATGTATTCTAATCATGACCGTTTCGTTGTACGCATATTAGCTTCATCTTCATATTGAGTAGTCAATATGTATACATGACTAGCCTATTCCTCTTCATTAAGACCATTTGTTCATTTTAGTACAGCAATACTATTTGTACGCCTGAGTCTTCTAACAAGTGCACCCACATTATAGTAATAGTTGTAACTGCAGTTGTAGTTGTTTGTTCTTCATTTAAAAGATTTGAGTTTGCTACACTGTCTCACGGTGACGATGATTTTTGTGCCAATCGTCTCTCGGGCCGATCAGCAAAGATGCGTTCTTCTCATCAAATGTTCTATCACAACCCTATCACAGCACTGATAGCGTGTGTTGTTTATTAATCGGATAAGGGTGACGTTAGCTAAAATGGCAGTAGATCCATTTTGGTAGAATGAAAGTTAAGCGTATACATCATATACGCGATGCATGATTTGTTTATCTAGTACAACTTTAACGGAAGAATATTGGACTACCCTCCGTCAGTGTATGCCATTTTACATTGACGTCACCCAAGACAAAGTATAGACATTAGTATAGACATGAGCGGTCTATGCTATATCTAGTTTCCAACCTGTAATTAATAATAGTGATAATAATAAACATATTACCACCGTCGCCATCATCATCATCGTCGCGAAATTACAGTGGAGCTCTTCCCTGCTTAGTTAAGAAGCATTAACTAATAGGCGTAATTTTTACATTTCTAAACTTAGCGCAGCCATATAGCCGGCAAGCGTTCTGTTCGTTTCAAATTCACTACATTTAGACCGTTAGGCTAGCTCCCGATTAAAACTGATAAATAAATTAGTCCGTTAATAAGTTTTAGCCTGACCTACTACGGAATTATAATTTTTATTAGTGACGCCTGGTCAAGATTAACAGTTCTTCTACATAACCTGTATTGATCTGCTAAGCGGCGGAGCTGGAAAAGCAAAATAAATTCCGCATACTTGCAAGTCAAGTAAGCTAATTTGCTAACAGAAGAACGTTTAGTTTTCAGGCACCGCACAGGTTGCATTTCAATTAAGGTCTGTGGTCGAATTTAAGACGCGCGATATCATTAAATCGTAACATCGCCATATTCATGATTCCACTTCTCGAGGGCAACTAGGCTGCGTTTATCCAGCGATCGACGAATTTTGCCCAAGCTTTGCCGAAAGTCAACCAGAGAGATCTCACGCACGTGATGCACATCGAGACTTCGCAGCTGGTCAGCGTCGAAGTCACGCAATGGTGCGAGAGCCGCATCCCTCGCTAGATGTGTAAGGTCACTCCCTAAAACGAATCATAAGAAAAAAAAAGGCCAAGTTTAAAAATGTAAGCAGTATAAATCGCACTGCAAACCACACACCTCAAATTAGGCATTTTGTTCAAACGTTCAAGTATTGCGGGCCTTGAGCCAGCTGCAAAACTTATTTGACTGTAGAAAGCGTTTGTTTGTTGAATATATCCAGAATGCACTGCTGCTGTCCTTAGAATTCTATGTTTTGACAAGAAAGACGTTTCAACGTAGCAGATAAAATGCAGACCGCAATGAGTAACGTTTTCCTTGAAAGCTCAACATTTAATAGGCTTAAATATTATTAATTTTATTCGTTTTTTCTTTTTTTATTACGCTCGGCAACTCTTTACCTCAGGAAGTAATATTTTAGCACGCCTTTAAAAATTTGGAACAAATTTACGCAACTTACAGTCTTGGGAGGGCGATCTCATTCGCATTCCGTCCTAATTCCGAATGCTGTATACCGAAATAATACGCCTAATGAGAATGGGTGTTTAAAACAAGCGAAGTCGTTGCTCATGTGATCCGCGGGTAATAAAGCTATTTAGCTAATAGTATTTGAGACCCTAAATTGTAAAGTTCAAGGTTTTTCAAAGATATGATTGAAATAAGATATTTGATTAACCACGGTGTGTCGATTATTTTGTACTCAGTGATTCAATAAACAGCACAATCCTTCAACGTTTTGTGAAAGCGCTTATTATAAACATGCGACCTTTAAACTCCCCTTTGTGAACACATTGTTTAGAATCCCGCTCCATACTGAAAATGCGAAAGAGAGAACGTATTGTAGAATAAGGGTTACGAGCATTGCTGCAGAACTTCTTTGGAGCCACAAACCGGACGTGCGACTTCCACTAAACCGTGAATTAATTTTCTTACGTGAATTATGCTACTAAGACCACTTAAGTACTACTGTTAATAACTTTACCTTAATTGGCTGTTCAAAAACTGACCACACTAGCGCACCTGTAAGTGGCGAGAAGTTTAACTTCATCAGATCAAAAGAAAGTCATTGTTTTTTTTAAGGACTGACGCTCATGTCTGCTGTACACCACGTTTAGGGTTATCCTAGGTTAGTTTGCAATTCTTCTGTAACTCTAATATGTAGCTCGTCGACATACTGAGAGTTATGTCATCTGCTTAAATTACAATTTTGTCCTTAACCGCTTTTGTAAAGTCTACGAATGCTAGAGATCCTATAAAGGGCTTTTCTTGTTGTGCACTATATAGGCAGACGTGTCTGACAGATGCTGCCAACGCCAGCAAATCGCTAGCATTCTAGGAAATATGAAGACAGTAGCTGCAAATGCAAGTTTTTAAAGTCCGTATGCACAAATATTTGGGATAATATATTTGTCTTTACGCTATAGGGAGCACGTCTTAAATTTATAAGTAGTGCTGCAGTGAACTTCTCAGCTAACTCAACTCGAATCTCTTCCACAAGCTGAGAAAGAAATGTTGAGCCTCTTCAATGACTTTTTTCATATGCCGAATTGATTATTTTCATGTTGCTCATTGTTTTCCACAAATGTTGTCGTCTGCTTCCGCAGCCTAGAAATAGACACACCCTTACTAGTCGCCGACTAGCTTGTTGGGCCAGCCTTGTAAATCAGTTCAACAAGTCTACTTTTTGAGAAATCTAGATTTTTTTTCTTCTTCTTTTCTTTTCTTTCCTTTCCTGATAATGTAATGAGTTACATAAATAATAGGTTGGATAAATAAATTGCTAACACAAAATACGATATGTGCTCGTATGCAACCCTGTCCGGTAGACATTTAGTTCATATCCGCTCAAAGCTGAAACACGGCATTGTTAGACATGGAAAAAACAGTTTAATTGAGTCTTTGTTGATAGCTTCTTTTGGTGGGAATTCAGCTACGCAAATTGTGAAATAATTGCACAAGTATGAAGTCACTGATAAAGCGCCTATTCTTCCGACGATTTTATGTTTGGAAATTATTTTAAAATCTTCTTGTGTAGATGAATGCTAACTGCATTTAGGTAAAGCTTTACAGATGACTAAAATAAAAACTATTGACGATATATTTGAGCTTTCAATTAGCGTCTGATGTAATGACGAAAATACATTGTCACCATCCTGTGCTTGATAAGCACAAACCTTCGTTGTTCCCAGTGGACGAGCACAAAGAGACGCAGAGTAAAATGCACTTTGTTGGAAAATACACTTTAGAAATTTGTAGGTCGAAACTGTATTATCTTGCTAAGTGGCCGCTGATGGTCATACAGAACGCTGGCCACCCAACACCACCACTGTGTTTAGTCGCGCTCTCAAACCTAAACTACCTTGAATGTTCCTAGGTTCAATACATAGTTTTATGTTTCGAGTTTTACGTCCGATGGTCTATGTGCGAACCCTAGCACAGACAGACTTTGTTTTGTGCTGGGAATCAGCCGTCTGATGAAATGCCTAACGGCGATACCGGACGTAAAAATCGAAATCCAGAGGTTCAGTGCACAAAAACGTTAGCGCTATACCATCACAGAAAACTTCAAATAAAAATTTACGTATTCATTTGACACACCCTTATGCTATTGTGTCAACAATACAGTAAGTGGGATTACTTCTCGCAAAAAAATACAATAAATCTAAAATGGAGGACCATATTGGCCTTATTGTCATTGCTTGATTATTAAAATCGCAATTATTTGCGGGAAAAGTGAAGGCTAAATAGATAAATCTAATCTATCATAGCATTTCCTTAAAATAATGACAAAGATTATAAACATGATGTATTTGTTTAATTATCTTTATCACGATACATTTACCAGAATATCCATCAGTCCATTTCGCAAGCATGGTTAAGTCTTCGTTTGAAAGGTTGGACGCAACGTTTGGATTTGATAGTAGTTGACGAAGCAGGTCTACTCGCGTTGACTCATCGGGAAGGCCGACGTAGACGCGACGTGGAAAACGACGAAGCGCCGCATCATCGAGTTCAAACGGACGATTTGTGGCGCCCATAACAAGAACTCGGTCTTCTGCGTTGCTCGCTCCCGAGTGCAGCCCGTCCATCTCACTAAGTAATTCGGTTTTGAGCCGCCTCGACGCCTCATGCTCACTTTCTCGACGCGCCGATAATAAAGAGTCCAATTCATCGATAAACACGATCGATGGCTCAAGTTCGCGCGCGACCGCGAACAAAGCGCGCACCAACTTTTCGCCTACCCAGGCAATGAAAATACAAAGTCGTTATAGCGAACGGTGCCCAATGAATGTCATTTACTTCTGCACAAATAGATATTTTTGGGGACAAGTGAACGGCATACAATCTCAGGATGGGAGCGAGTCAATTATTAATATATATGTATATATACATTTTTTAAATATTAAGTGAAGTGAATGCGCGAGATGAACTGACATTACTGATACTACGATTTCTGAACGCCAAAAACCTCGCTAAATACGCATTTGCCGTACGTTGCGAATGCTAACACTTTAAATAAGTGCTTAAATAAGTGGTGGGCCTCTAGCTAGGAATGCAAGTTATATGTTGCGGTACATAGCAATCTAGTCTCAGTTGTTTTCCACGAATGAGGCCCAAGTACATATCCATTGGTATAGTAAAAAATTACTGTGTATCTATAGAATACAAGTCGGTAATTAGAATTAAGACTTTAATTACAAAACTACTGAAATACGAAACGATTAGGAAAATAGGCACGGTGCGAAAAAACCGCTGTCTTTTAAGAAAGGTAAAATATGGACTCACGTATATAAAGGAACGCAGAAAATAATATTTTTTTTCTTAATATTAAAGTAATTATTTTCAGCACTGTACGCACCTTCTCCGACGTATTTTGAGGTCAGCGTCGCCGCCGAAATGTTGAGAAACGTCAGTGAACTTTCGTGAGCCACAGCTTTGGCCAACATTGTTTTGCCATTTCCTATAACGAATTTAATCAAGCATTAATCAAGCAAGACGTTAGCATATTTTAATTTCATACGCGAAACTTTAATCTACAATCTCTTATTTTGTAGCTCGTCGATCCCAACTATTCGGTTAGTTCCCACAGGGCCTATTCATATACAGAGCATAAAGAATTGACTCATCAGATATGCTAATCCAATTAACTTTCCAAATCTAATAAAAACACATTGAACATAATTTATCCTGCTAAAACCTCTCTAGGCAAAACGCCTTTTAGCTCCAGCCGGTGAACTATTTTTGCAAGCATCAGTAAAGAATTAAGAAAGCTGTTTACGTACAAGGTATGTAGATGAAGTTAACGAAAAAATGCAACGCATGGCATCATAGGCAGTAAAAATGCCCAACTAAACAATACAGCAACCCTGGTATAACATAAGTCGGATTTTAATAAATCAGAACCTAACTAGACATTGAACAGACATCAACTCCGTAAATGTAAACAAAACATGGTAGTAATCGAAAATAGCAAAGATTCAATAATTTATATTTTCCTATATCATTCCATTGTTATATGTATAGCTCCAATAAACTCTCTGCAAACTCAAATCCATTCTCGTTTATATATTTGTTCTATTCGAGATAATAGTACTTATTATCAACGGAATTAGGTTGGTGATATTACACTTAGCGATTGACTCAGATTAATAAGCTGAGTTAAAACGAAACTGGTTTTGATGGACATTACATAAAACATCGGCTTGATCTTTCATGCTCTAAAAGCCAAATGTGGTAGGAGGAGCGAAATATGCCTTGATAATTAAGATATCGGCAATCTCAAGAGTATTCATTCTGTGTATTTCTGAGAGGCCCAGGGTGAAAAAGCGACGACGTGTATCTTTGATAACCTTTGTTGGAGTGGGCGTATCCTAAATAACGAACCGACTTATGGCAGACTATCATTCACATTAAAGTAAATTGTGCAGACGCCCAAAAATCTTTTTTTTTTAACAATCAATAGCTGTTGTTGAGTCACTTTTACTGAAGTTATTAAAGATAACAAAAATTCATTAGACATATCGTTCACAGTTTTAATCTACATCGAAAGGAACACTTCTGTGAAATATTCTCCAACGTGATTGATCCAAGAGAAAAAACTCAGCAACATTAAAATCAACGAAATGAATAGTGGAAATGAAAATTATTTCAGTCACCGTCAAATTTTCATTTGTGTTGCAGATTTTCATTTTTAGTAATATAATAGCTGAGCACTACCGAAAGTGTGACATTCGTATACTACTTAATACATCTTTAATATATCGATACTTTTTGTTACTATACTAATACATAATTGCTTATATACAAGGCCTACATATTATAAATCCTTTAACATCCGAACGACCACATCCTTAGCAGTTGCACGGCGAAACGGATATTTTGTAGCTCCCATTCGGCGATGTGATTTATCACGATCACAACTAACAATCTTTTTATGTATATTTCTTTTGCTCAAATTACTCCACAATTTACAAATAAATGCAACTTTATTTTGAGGACCGTTCATTTCCTGCTAGTCTTACCATTGATTCCCAGACACCCCTTATATAATACTTGAAATGAATAAGATTAGGCAAAATGTATAGTTTTCATTCTCCATACTATCAAAATAATGCGGTAATACTGTTTGCAATTAGGACCTAATCAATTTCGTATTATAGGGATTTCAGTGTGTACATTGTGACGACAATTTGCAAATTACCTTTATATTTTTTTTTACAGGCGAGCCGGTTGCGTAAGTAAAATATAGAGCGCGTGTACAAAAACAAAAGACAGAAAAAAGAATAAAAACGAATGGGTTTATTGTCGTATATTGTACCGCGATCAAGCTGTGTTAGAGGAACCTAGGTACTGCAACACATCCTATGGCATCACTTTGTTCGACACCTGTGATTTCATAATAAATAAGACAATATGTTACTGGTCAATCATTCATTAGCAATTACTTTGATGCGAAGAAACGGACGAGGTTGGTTAAAGGCGGCCTCAATAGTTCATTTTGTTTTTGTATATGGACAAAGATGTTTCGTTCTTGTCAGCTGTATTCGTGTCATAGGCTGCTGAAACTTCGTGTTGGTGTCTCGGAAAGCGTGGCGTCCACGTCCAGAGTTACTACAATCCGCAGTCGAGATGATAGGCTGCAATAGAGGGAAACAATTCCTCTATTACATCTTCACTAGGTGGACCAGTCGCCAACACTCGGCGATTGGACGATATGAATCGGCGGTCTACCCCAAAAGGACCTTGAAGAAATACCTTTACGACTTCTATCCTTTCACCTTATGCTGGCGGCACTATCAATCTTGGCTGCAAACTTGACGAGCATCAATACAGCCTACATTCGGTATGTAAAATTTTGGCATGCTATTTTGATCTCTATCGAGGTATTAATTAAATGCGGTGCACATTCTTAATACAATAATACTGATATAAGATCGACTTTTGATTTGCCTGTGATGATTAGTTGCTAAGCCCATTTCTTTTAAAACAAAACAGTACCGATTCTCTTCGTGTCCTCTCGAATAATACTGACCTCTGAATTTTCCATGCGGAATGAACCAGAAAAATCCTTTTTCTCTTCCATCTGAGAGACAAGGCGAAGGCGCGAAACCTTCTGACGTTAAGATACCTCGATTTCCAGCTAAAACTAAACGATGAGTGTGATATACACCATTTAAGCTGCCCATTGTTGTGTAACCTTTCGATCTTGTTAAAAAATCATGCATCCCTTTTTGTTAAGATTCATCTTAAATAGTTTGTGGCAATCTTTTTGCCTTTCAAGAAATTACGCAAGCCCGCTTTTTCGACACTTTATATAGCATCCCTACTTTAAATTGCTAACCTTTTTTGACTTTGACTTTGAAAAACTTTTTAACAAAAACTCGTACCAAAAGATTAGTTGAGTCAGATGGTAGTACGGTAGTAAAATATTTTTGTTAGACGGAATTTTCATTGTAACTTTTAAAACCACATTGTATTTCCAAAACTTGGTGACCCCTTTGAGCACTTCGATTCAGTCAACAGCGGCTGGACACTCAGGAAATGCCCGGAGACAAATGCCTCTAATAGAATGTGCTTAATTTATTGTGCAGTATCTCCACAAATATCATACACATATATAAAATTGTAGTATAACAATGATATGGAATCAACTTAACCGTGTCTGGAAAATCGAAAGCCTTCTTACGCAATACCTGAGATACTTATAATTCAGATTTCATGTCCGATGGTTTACAGAAAAGTGTTCTTATAATGGCCCGCCATAAACATCTGCTACCAGCTTTAATAACATTAATGCTAATACTGTATAGATGTGAAACGTGCATCGATGTGACAATCTAATTATAGGCCTTTCGCAGGATAGGAAGCTTGTAATTATGCCATAGAAAACGTAGCCTACCTAATGCTACTTCCATACCAGCGGATTAATGTTCCAGAATGGCGCACTTTGGTGAACTACAACAGTCAAGGCAACAAGTTAGGCTCACAATACGATTCCGCTGTAGGAATTAGATATTAAACATAACAGCTTCCATCCACTACTACCATCAGCCATATGAAAGGAATCAAATGGATGACATTCTTACAGGCAACCGAAACTGCGTCCTACATTATACAAACAGGTAATTACTGCCACCCCACTTCAGCGTGGAACTCGATTCTTTAGTCAAAAAATGCTGCTACGAGGATATTGATCACAAACACCACTTCTGCTAATAGCAGACCCACTTACTATATTATTTACTAAACAATTCTACGATACCCGAAACAATTGATCAATATTTTATATATATATATATATAAAATATTGATCAATTGTTTCGGGTATCGTAGAATTGTTTATATATATATATATATATATATAACGTTAAATACGTATCATAGTTACAAAATGTTATAAATTTGCTAAGGTTTCTTGAACCTATGGAACCAACATGTGATCAAAATAAGCTATACAGTAAGCTATCGTACAAAAATATAGGTATAAATGGATATGTTTGTTGAAGTATTAGTTAGTATCTACGTAAGAACAAGCATACAGAGTAAGTGTTAAACTTCATGGCTATGCAGCGACTCACTCAATCGAAATGAATATCTATCTATACGTATGTAAAATCTGATGCTCTCGGATGAATTTGCGCCGCTCATAATATGACTAGCAATAATAATAATAATAATATATTTTTCCAAAATATTTAAAGATAGAAAAAGGAGGAGTACAGGAATATAAACATGGCATTGACATCTTTTTTAGGTTGCTTTTACACATTTTATATAAATCTAGCCACGCTTGCATGGGTGAATAAGTAATAGTTATACATTACAGTGACAAAGAGAGAAAGGTTAGTTAGTTGCAGACGGCTATTTAGGCGATTTTACAGCATCAGGATGTCAGACCAAAAACTAAGACAAGGTAATTTCGAATAAAGTTAACCATGCAAAACGTTGGACTTTTTCCGCATCTGTATTTCAGACAAGCAAGGGTAACACAATAATCTACCCTGTATGGTGTCTTTGAGAAGTCATCCAGAGCCCAAAAATCCAGTACAGCCAAATTAGTGCAATAATATGTTACCAATGACAACTTGAGCGATAATTATTAGGTGATAAAGTATTAATTGTTATTATGAAACATAAACGATATCGCTTATATGCACAAACCTTATATGTAATCATTTTTTTTTTGATCAAAAATATCCAGGATTAGAAAAAGCCGCGATAAAATTGCGTGCGTGTTTATTCAACGTTGCACGGGCATCATACGTGGGCTACGCAAGCGTCAGGTTCTACATATGGTAAACGGTTATTTTATGTTTGACTCGTTCATCGCTCATAATAAGGTGGACGCATGATTAGCCCTAGCAAACATATTGCTTTTTTACGTCAATTGACGTGCCGTGCAAAAGTTCTCTTATAGACAGACGTAAAGATCTACATATCGTTATTCGTACACAGTTCACA